ATGTTAAATTGCAGAGACATTTGCCAGAATGTGAGTTTTATCTATAGGTGCTGTGGTGTATATCGGCAAACAACACAGTGGGTTATGCATCAATCAATGCTGGGGTGTTATTAATACTGAGTTGGATGCTTTCCATGAACATGGCGCATCTCTGCATTCTCTTCTTCTTTCTTTCTTGGAAAAAACAGAGTCAGAAGCTTAAAATAGAGCTGCTCTGCACTGACAGAAAAAGAATGAGCAAAGCAGCTGCCAACAAAAAAACACTTTTCTTCTTGTCACATAACTATCAACACAGTTGGATTCTGTATACAAGCAATTACCACCTGGATAAGTGTTACATCTCAACTCATATTGCACTCCTGCCTAAGCAAATACAAATAAGCATTGTGCACCATCCTTTATGACACTGATGCAAAATGTTGTTAGCAATACTCCACAACTGATATGGTTCCTCTACTTTTGATGTATGCATGAATGTGCAAAAATACCTGTCTGCATTCATTTAGCAAGTCATTTTTGATGTTCTGCCAAATGCATTGTGCGGTGTAATCCTCCTGTGAGTGGAGAAATAGGGTTCTGTATGGAGCATAATGTGCAGAGCATAGCTACTGAAGTCCAGGCGTACCTATTCAATCTCGCCTAATGGTATCGACCTCGATGCTTATCCCTAAGCAAATGCGATAAGACATTATGACCTATAGCCTTTGATTACAGGTCCATTCCCTTGCAGTAAACAATAGGTGCCAAGCTTGTATCTCCTATACCTACCCTCCTGCAGGATGTGTGTGGGCTGCACAGCCTTCACTTTGTAGTTCCGTGCCCTCCATCCCGGACTGGGAGCCTCGGCTATCTCTCTGTCGCTGAGCCAGGTGGCCGTCTCGAAGTTGTCTCCGTTAGCCACGGCATCGACCTCGGCGCTGTGGACGCCCACCTGCTGGAACTGATGCAGACCCCCCGAATGGTCGAAGTGCGCGTGGGTGGCGATGGCCAGCAGCGGGTTCTTCCTCTGCGGGCCTTCGCCCAGCAGCCCCTCGCCGTCGATGTAGTCAGGTAAGCTCCTCAAGCCCAGCCCAGTGTCTATCACAACGTCCTGGTGCGAGCCGCGCAGCAGCCAGATGTTGGCCCGATTTTCCGACTGGTAGAATCGCTCCTGGATCCAGAAGAGCCCGTCTCCCAGCGATTTGTGAGCGTACCAGTCGGCTGCAGACATCCCAGTTCATGCACTGGTCCACGTAACCTGCTGCGGGTGTTGTGCTGTCAGGTGATTTTGCGGCGGAGAGGTGTAAACGAGAGGTGATGTGTTTTCATTGAGGTTAATGTGATGGTGGCCGCGGACACACCCTTGCAGGAAGAGAGCGTTCTCACTGGACGACCAGATTAATGACGGCAACATAAAGCGCGCTACTCTATTGGCTGAACCCAAGCCCCGCCTTATTTCACGTCACACGGGGCGGGGCGACTAAAAGCCACATTTACGCATACGCTGAGTGTAGTCCATGCACATTGCACAGGTTTCCACGTTGCATGTAGAAAGCCGCATCTTTATTAAGTTTAACTATACATTCAGTGAATTTCAGGAGTTAGTTTTAGTGCCGAACCATAGATACACCGGAGGAGCTGAATGGTATTGACAAGTAAACTGCATAAGTGAAACCATGGAGAGTTAGTACAGGCTAAAAGGCTAAATGCCTCCAAAAATCCACTGAGATACGTCTCCACATTAGGAGAAATTTACAAACAGTCCCATAGTGAGTATAACCACTTATTGTACGACTCAATGTGTCTTCAGTGTACTATTTCAATGCCGACCATCGCCTCATAGTAGGCAAAGTCAGGCAAAATGCGTTAAAGCTGTGTTAACGTTACATGAAGTTGTTGCGTCCACACGTGTTTGACAGTGACGTTGACTAAAGGCATGTGGCTTCTGTGTTGTAGGAACAGAGGAGTACAGCCATGGCAGGCAAGGGTCGTGGAGTGGGGGCCTTTACATTTAACATCGAGGCTCTTGGCATCGGCAGGGGTAGCATGCCAGATTCCAGGGTGGGGCCCATGCCGCTGTTTCCAGTAAGTACCACACACACACACACACACACACACACACACACACACACACACACACACACACACACACACACAACAGACATGCAGAGATCCCTGGATGACATATCACATTGCAGTATATCAAATTCACCTATTAAACCTCAGTGTTGTATGGCAGAACTTTTCAGGGATGATGTACTTCAAGGTATTTGTGGACAAATCAGAAAGACTTGTGCATGAGATTTAGAGAGTGGACTTCCCAGAAAACATAGCTTCCATTATGATCTATTAGAAAACAATCTTATATTTGTGTGTACACAACTAAAGTAAAGTTTGTTGTCATGCTAATGTTCGAATAGACAATATTCTGTATGAGTTGCTCTAGGATGCTAATGTTATTTTCTGCATGATGCAACAAATATAAATCTATAGGGGCGGGCATAGCTTATTTTTATGGTCCTAACTAACTCCTTTAACTCAAACATTCTGTAAATAATGCATAAATGCTCTATGCATGTACAACCAGCACACAAAACATGACAGATTTGTGTATATCTTGCTCTAAGAGACTAATCATGACCATTTGATTTTGGTGGTATATATCCCCAAACCACCAGAAAAAAATAGTGTTGTTCTTTATGCGTGTGTCTTGCATTATGGTGAACAACTCAGGAGATAGTGAGCATAATTTTCTTGTTTTTATTTCAATTTTGAGCTAGCTTTTGCTCATTTATACCAAAAAATCTTTGCACCATTACTTGGCAGGATGGAATTCAGCTAATGCTGCATTTCAAATGTCATCTTTTTCAGATCAATGCAGGACCAATGTGGCACCTTTTACCATAAAGCACCTTAGTGTAATATATTTATTGCTAAGATATTCCCTTAAAATAAAGTGTGGTAAATAAGAATAGAAGGTAACACTGAAGCTGCATACATAGAAACATATCCTTCATGCTGCCACATCAGCTAAATAGTGTACTTTAGGCAACACATTTACCTGTGAAAAAGTAACCTTACTGTCATTCTTAATAGCTATTATCTCCCTCCCAGAACACAGACTTTAAGCCGGTTCCGCTGAAAGCTGGTGAGGAAGAGGACTACATGCTGGCTTTGAAACAGGAAATGAGGGGAACGATGCAACGGCTACCTCACAACATCAAGTGTCATGCCAATAAAGCAGGTGAGGAGGAGAGCAGTGCATTAGAGACCTGAAGGCTGGTAGTAATGCTATGGCAAGACAATTGGCTGCTGTGAGGGAAGATAATGCAGCACTTAGGAACTGAGACATTTCATTAGGGTTATATCTGGGAAAAGGAGAGACAGGAAGATATTTTGCAGAATATTGAGTTGCAGCTGCTGCTCATCCGGTTGGCTTTAATACGGTGTATATGATCTATGCTGATAGGGCCTTCATGAGCTCCCTTATTCAGCTATTTCAAACCTTTATTTAACCAGGGAAGGCAGACCTGCTGCAAGTAGGTTCTACATGAAGACAGAAAAACAGAAAACAACAGAAAAACTAAAAGGACAACATAGACAGTGGCGGTTCTAGACCAATTTGACTGGGGGGGCCACTGGGGGGCCAGTTATTTTCTGAGGGGGGCACAATAAATGCAGGACGAAAAAGAGAACTAGACAGTATGAAGTAATTGCGCATAAGAAAACAATGCAATACAGTTATTGGTATTTGTTTCAGTACACTTATTTATTTGAGATATCTTATAGTTATTACTGTTTGCTTCAGCTTAAGTTATAGTACAATTTTTACACTAACACCAAATCATATTTATATAAAAATAAAAGCAATGAACAGTTACATCTCTACATCTACAATTACACAGATACAATAGTTTAACTCACCTTCAATTATCGTGGTAGTCTCTCGAAACGTAGGTTTCAATCAGTCTTTCTTGGATGAAAAGTGTTTGTTTTTCGCGCGCTTCAGCCGGACATTGAAAGTGAGTGCACCGCTCTAATGGGTCCGACTAGAATAACGTTAGTTCCGCCCATTCCATCATTCAATAAATCGTGTAATAAATCATACATTTTTCATTTTTTTCAATGGCCCCCCCCTGGAACCGCCCCTGAACATAGATACAGGGATTTACAATGTACATACCTAACGACATTTACAGGTACCAACAGTATCAGATTGCATAGCATCTATCCGAGCTTTAAAAATATGTAGTGGAACCAAACAGTTTCCATTCTTTTTGCAGACTGTTCCAAGTTAGAGGAGCTGCACACCTAAAAGCTTTCGTCCCTAAGACAGTCCTAGCACTTGGCACATTTAACAAAACCACAGCATGAGATCTCAGAGGCAATAGCTACTTTCAATTTGCCGTGTGATCAGAGAGCAGATATAAGATGGTAGTTTACCTAACATGGCTTTGTAGATGAACATGTACCAGTGACTGAGCCTCCGTACAGTAAGTGAAGGCAAACCTGCCCTGGCATACAGGGTACAGTGATGAGTTAATACTTTACAGTTAGTAACACATCTTAGTGCACTGTGATAGGCGGCATCTAACTTGATCAGGTAATGGGCAGGTGCATTCATATAGATCAAATCACCATAGTCTTAATCACAATGGACTAGGATTGATCAGGTTAAAATCACTTTTATTTTGGCACTAATTGAATTGTATGTATATTTATGGAGACGACAATTGCTGACCTTTTAATCCAACTATGAGATATTGTTGCTCAGGAGTAGCACAGTGGTTTGTGTTGATGCAATCAATCATGGTTGTGATAAACTGCCGAGTGTTAGAGTTGTTGTTTAAGAGTGTACTGAAGACATGTCTCTTGTTTACATACAACAGAAGTGGAGAGATACACGGAGAGATACCTGAAGCAAAGCCAGTTAGATGATGCCAACTGGACTCCAGGTACATGCGCAATACATTGTCATGTGATCATAGCAAATTCAAAAATATATTATTAATACTCTCTTTGACATTTTAGACTGGAGCCTCCTCCCAAAAGAATTGATGCCACAAAAGAAAAAAGTTGTTAAACCAGGTAAATAAAATACATGTAAGATTTGTGATATGTGAGATTCCATTTGATGGTTATAACAGTAACAACATAACAACTTAATCCAACAGTCAAAAAGAAGAAAGCTGTGAAGATTTCACGCAAAGAAACTGAGGCTATGCTGACAAAATTAGATGTATGTTTCTTTTCACTTGTTTGTTCAGTTTTCAAAGCCAAATATAACATGTACTGCTGTTTCAACAGTCTCACTGCATTTCGTGTTATATTGATTCGAGTTCACCAACACGATTTCGCCATTTTTTTTCGTGTCACACAGAACGATTTTAGAAGCAATGTATTTCTATTGGTAGTATGTTTCGTGCCTGCACCAAATAATAACAAATTAGAAGGAAAAACAGATGACAAAAAATACAGATTTCAGTATTCTGAGGCATTTTCCTCGCGGACGGCAAAAAAACTCCGACATTATAAAATAATTTTTTTTTAAAAAGGGGTTAGGCTTAGGGTAAGATATTGAGTAAGAAAATGTTTTTATGAACCACACAGCTTCCGGTCTTCCAAGACCCGACCGGACAAAAAGACGTGGTGAAGGCACGAAACATACTACCAATAGAAATACATTGCTTTTAAAATCGTTCTGTGTGACACGAAAAAAAGGGGGAAATGGTGTTGGTGAACACGAATCAATAGATTCAATTAATTTGGTGATTATAACACGAAATGCCGCGAGACTGGGTTGGATGGTTTCTTGATTTATAAAGTACCCATTTATGTATGCCTCAAGTGGAGCTGATGCACTTCTGAGCTAGCAAATGTTTTTCCATAAATGATTTAATGTTGTCGTCAATATTTCAGGAACTGGAAAAGAAAGATGACGGGAACACTGAGAAATCGGATGATGAGACCGAAAAGAAAAAAGTGAATGAGGGAGAGGAGGAAGAAATTGAAGCGGAAGAATATGATGAAGAAGATGTTGAAGAGGTGATACAACAAACAATAACCTGACACTAGCAAATGTGTTGAATCCAAATGTCTGGTCGATGTAAGGAGACTTAATGTTTCCTTTGTTCCCCTTTAGGAAAACGACTACATTGACAGCTATTTTGACAATGGCGAAGACTTCGGTGGTGCCGGCAGTGATGAGAACGTTGATGGCGAGGGAACATACTGAAAGAAGTGACTCAACCACGAAGACTGGGTTCAAGTAAACAATCATTCAGTGATTGTTTCTTCGTTAAATATTGTAGATAAGTTGGGAACAATGTGTAGCAGAGTGATATGTTTGTTTTCTTTATT